TCAGGTGGAATTCCTTTTCCCGTAGTTTGAAACCACTGCTCCTTGTCCTAGTGTCTGGACCGTGGAAAACAAACCTGTCCCTTCCTCAACATGACATCCCTTCAAATATTTAAACATGGCTATCATGTCCCCTCTTAACCTTTTTTTTGTAAGGCTAAGCATTCCCAGCTCTCTAAGCTGCTCCTCATAGGACATGGTTTCCAGGCCTTTCACCATTTTGGTCACCCTCCTCTGGATACATTCTAGGTTGTCAACATCCTTCTTGAACTGAGGTGCCCAGAACTGGACACAATACTTCAGGTGAGGTCTGAACAAAGCAGAATAGAGTGATACTATCACTTCCCTTGATATAGACACTAGTCTCTTATTGATGCAACCAAGAATTGCATTGGCTTTCTTGGCAGCCGCATCACACTGCTGACTCATGTTCAGTTTGTGGTCTACCAAGACTCCTAGATCCCTTTCACAGGTACTGTTGTCTAGCCAGGTGCCTTCCATCCTATATCTGTGCAGTTCATTTTTTTCTGCTTAGGTGTAGGACCTTGCATTTCTCCCTGTTGAAATTCATTTTGTTAGTTTTGGCCCAGGACTCTAATCTGTCAAGGTCATTTTGAATTTTAAACCTGTCCTCAGGGGTGTCACCTGCAAATTTGATCAGCATACTCTCTATTCCTTCATCCAAGTCATTGATAAAGGTGTTGAATGGCACAGGGCCCAGAACAGAACCCTGAGGCACCCCACTAGTTACCTCTCCTCTCTCCAAGATGAAGAGAAGCCATTGGTGAGCACTCTTCGGGTTCAGTCAGTCAACCAATTACAAATCACTGAACAGTAGCATTGTCTAGCCTATATTTTACTACCTTCCTTGCAAGAATATCATGGGTAACTTTGTCAAAGGCCTTACTGAAATCAAGATATGCTGCATCCACAGCATTCCCTTCATCTATCAAGCCTGCAAATCTATCAAAAACAAAAAAAAAGATCAGATTAGTCTGGTATGACTTGTTTTTGAGAAACAAGCAATAAAAAACCATCAGCAACCACAAAGATGATATAAAATTAAAAAAACAAATAACAAATACTGGCAAGATAAAATACTCCCAAAGACCCACATTTAAAATACATCTAGACCAAGTATGGGAAAGTGTGACCTTGCAGATGGCTTTCGGGCATGTGTCTCCTATTGTTGCAAGTCAGATAGCCATTGGTGAGGCATCATGGAAAAACATCTGGAGGGCCAAATTTGCCTAACACTGATTTGGCAGTCAAAGAGACTGAAAAGGCTTTTCATGCTACTGAAAGATCAAGACTGCTGCTAGTCAAACCTCAGAGAACAAGTAGGGGCATTTAGTAAGAGCCATCATTCAGATCCTGCAGTCCTTAAGCTGGGGTGGGTTATGTCTGAGGTTCTGGGGGCTACTTTCACTCTCTCCTGGATCTCTAGTATGCCCTACCTTCTATTCTGAATTTTGCTCACTGAAATAAATGGGAAATAGTGCTTCCAGAAATCCTGGCAGGTATGGCCTGCCATTTGATTGCTCCCCTGAGCCTTCCAATTTCATTTCAGGCCTGACACAGCCATGGGGAGGAGGCATGATCACTTTTAAAGGGCAAATATCCCCTCGCTTTCTGGAGACATGGTTTCCAAATTGTTGACTCTTGGTGTGGGTGTGTGAGGAGATTAGAATGGTTCATAGGGGCCTGCACCCCTGGCTCTGCAAGGTAGACAATCTAGATATAAGCCATGAAGTGTTATGCAGCTCTAAACTAGTACTGTGCTGTGCAGCTCTAAACTAGTGATACAGTACAGTGGTGCCCTGCATAGCAACGATAATCCATTCCGAAAAAATCATCGCTATACGGATTTGTCGCTATGCGGAACAAAAAAGCCCATAGGAACACATTAAAATGCATTTAATGTGTTCCTATGGACTTAAAAACTCACCTTATACGAAAATCCTCCATAGGGGCGGCCATTTTCGGTGCCTCTAAAGCGAGGCAACACAGCAGGCGGCCATTTTGGAACCGCCGATCAGCTGTGCGAAAATGGGGCCTTTGGGGTGATCCCCGGGGAGCACTTCCCCGTGATCATCCCAAAGGCTCCACCGCTTGCTCTTTCTCTCCCCTCGCAGGTCCAGCCTCGGCAGGGAAACTGAGGCACTGCGAGGGGCGGCCATTTTCGGTGCCTCTAAAGCGAGGCAACACAGCAGGCGGCCATTTTGGAACCGCCGATCAGCTGTGCGAAAATGGGGCCTTTGGGGTGATCCCCGGGGAGCACTTCCCCGTGATCATCCCAAAGGCTCCACCGCTTGCTCTTTCTCTCCCCTCGCAGGTCCAGCCTCGGCAGGGAAACTGAGGCACTGCGCCCACCACC